AAATGGCTAACAACATATGAAAGGTGCTCAACATGTGATTTACATTACCAGGGAAAATGTAAATTAAACCACAGTAAAAATATATCTCACACACATTACAATGGTGATCTGCAAAATGAGAAAAGGTGGCAAATACTAGCAAGAATAAAAAGAAGAAGGAATCCTATGTGTTGCTGGTGGAACTGTATGTTAGAAAACAATATGGGGTTTCCTCTCTAATTTAAAAATAGAACTACTATATCATCCAGACATCCCAAATACATCCAGAGGAACTTTTTAAAGACACAAGAGATACTGTAGCTCTATAGTCACTTGGCAATATATATAATACCCAGATAATTAAAGACCTCAAGGGTCTATGAACAAATGAATGGAAAAGATGCATGTATCAGACTAAAGAAATACAATTCAGTTATGAGAAAACAAGCTCATCCTGGGTTTTTTTGGACAATATGGATACATCTTGAGGTCATTATGCCAAGTGAAATAAGTCAGGAGGGAAAAAAAGACAAATACTGCATGCAATTAATTGTATGTAGAATTTGAAAATTTCAAACTCATAGAAACAAAGTGTAGAGTGGTAGTTACAAGCAGCTAGGGATTGGGAAAAAAGAGAAGATATTGGTTTTAAGCAAAAGAATAGATTTAAAGTTTCAAGATGAGTAAGTTCTGGGCAGCAGCACAGTAATTATAGTTAATAATACTGAATTATATACTTGCAAGTTGCTAAGAGAGTAAATCTTAAATGTTCTCACCACAAAAAAGAAATGGCAAAATGGTAATTATGTGACTTGAAGCAGGTGTTAGCTAATGCTATGGTGGTAATCATTTTGCAATATATAAGTGTATCAAATTAACAAGTTGCACACACGAAACTTGCACAATGCTAAACATCAATTACATCTAAATAAACCTGAAAAAAGATGTTTAATAATTTCAAAATGGCTTATAAATTTGTAATACCATGATAAGCTTCATTTATTCTGAGGAAATAATAGAACGAATAAATGCTCAAATGACATGCAAGAATTATATAGTCAAAAATCTGAGACAGAATGTTTATTACTCTAAAGATTCTCACATTTCCACTTTAAAAAAATCTACTTTTTTCTCTGTGTGAAATCATCAGTATTCATGCAAATATTAATATTTCAAATGAATTTAAAATCCTAATACAAATCACTGGAATTAGTTTCTTAAGGAATTTGTGTTAGGGCCAGGAGGATAGTACAGTGGTTTAGAGTACCAGCCTTGTCAGCATTTGGCCATTTGGCCACAAGCTTAAATCCCCCAGTGCTCCACATGCATTACTACTTGCCATCCTTACAGCTCTGGTATTTGTGAGCCCCAGTGCTGCAAGCAATTTCCAGCAGCATTACTGCTAGGTGTGTGAGGATCACAACTAAATGGGTGCGACCTCTGGGAAATGCCACAATTAAAAAGATGTTCAAGAAGTGCAGCTACAAGTGTGAGCACACCATGGCAGCATATGTGTGAGCACACCGTGACCCTAGTGGGCCTAACCTGTGTGCTTGAACTCAGAGAGTGAGCCCTTGCATGCAGAGGTGTAAGCACCAAAACTGACTGAGTGCAAACCTTACTGAGCACCACAAGTGAGTGTGCAAAAAAGGCAACCATCTCATGTGAGACAGCTGTGAGCACCACTGCTTGGAAGAAAAGAAAGCACCACAGTCAGACCTATGTGCCAGCCCGGTTGCTGCAACAGCAGCTAAGTGGGTAAGGGAAAGAAAATTAAAAAGAAAAACTTGGCCAAAGAGATGGTGCTTGCCTTGCATGTAGCTGATTCTGGTTTGATCCCCAGTACCACATATGGTTTCCCAAGCACCCTCAGGAGTGACCCCTGGGCACAGAGCCAGAAATAAGCTCTGCGCACCACTGGATATGGCCTTAAAACTTATGTCAAGGGACACTAAGGATGTAGCTCAGGGACATGCCTTTTGTGTAAAAATAGATCTTATGTCAAATAACAGGCATGTTAGAATTGTGTCACATTTCACTTACTATTTTAGAATTGTCAAGACGTAATCTAAGTCAGTAGGGGAAAAATCTGCAGGCTTCAAACAGCACTTCAAAACATACAGAGAAAGAAAGTTAGAAGTCAGGAAAGGTAATTCTGAGATAAAGGCTGAGTGGAGTGAAAGAAATCTACTAGAGAACATTTTAGGAGCAGGGCAGCACTCCACTACATTATCACTGACCTATAACCTCATCTCCAGCGCACAGGCAACTCTTGAGTACTCTGGGACTAAGTGGTTGTTTTAAAAAGTTCTTGTGTCCTATTTACTTTTTCCTATGACCCTTATCGGGGTGTGTACTCAAGTTCCATAATTCACATGCTCCAACTACCAACCTAACTACAATGCCCACCCCCCAGACCCACAAAAAAAAAATTCAAAAGTTTAAAATGCCAAACTCATTAAAAAGAGCAATGAGAATGACTAGGATTTTATTTTATTTTATTTTTATAATGTAGAAGCACTGCTATTTATTCAGCCATTGATTATGCTGATTGAAATGACTAGGATTTTAAATAGAAAATTTCATAGGAAAATAGCTTCAACACTGCACTGTCAATGACTATAAAAAGAAAAATAGGATTCAAAAAAATTACTTCCTTAATAGAGAACAAAACCCTAATCTTAAAATGAGGAAGTAGCATTACAAAAGCCCATTTCTTCTTAAAGTGCATTTCCCCATAAAATACCATTAAGTGGTGGTTCATTTCCAAATCTAGTCCACCAAGATCTAGTTAGCCTATAATCTACTGATGCTGGGCAATACAGGATGAAACGCAGGAAAGTTTTTGGTTTTTTTGGTTTTTTTTTTTAATATTTCAGATACACTCTAGTTCAGCTGAGATTACAGTTACCTGGTAAAACAGGCCTCAAGAAAATGGACTTCAGGAGTTCCACATAGCCGAAAAATGCTTATATAATTTCTTTGTAAGATTGCCCATGGCTTCCCTGAACTCCTCAAAATGAATGCTCACAACCCAAGAAAGAAAATGAACATAGGTGTAATATCAAGCCCAGTTCTTACCTATAGAACCCTCAGGTAAAGTTTAACATTGAAACGAAACATCTTGAGAATTTATAGTACAAACAGGCTGTAATCATTTGTGGATGCAAAAGTTTCATAAACCTTTCCCAAAAAATGTGATTATTACTTTAGAATAAAGATTTCAACATTTTTGTGGAACCTGGATGCCCACATAGTGACATAAGAAGTTTGTATAAAATCAAGGCTGATGATTCCAATGACACGCATTGTAAAGAAGATTTAAAACACTGTAAAGACAATTTTAAAAAAAGTTTGTCTGCACAGTTAACTTAGCTGCAAACAAGGTAAAAAGGTAAAAGGCCCTCCCATTGATCATCGATTTGCTCGAGTGGGCCCAGTAACATCTCCATTGGAGACTTTTTTGTTACTGTGTCTGGCATATCGAATACATCCCGGGTAGCTTGCCAGGCTCTGCTGTGCCGGCGAGATACTCTCGGTAGCTTGCCGGGCTCTCCGAGAGGGACGGAGGAATCGAACTCGGGTCGGCCATGTTGGCTGCATGCAAGGCAAATGCCCTACCACTGTGCTATTGCTCCAGCCGCAAACAAATATCCGTTATATTTATATTTGTGAAAACTCACTTAAAATTCTTTCCTTAGAAACTAGATCATGCTCCACACCCATGAAGGAACCGGCAGAGGAATACAGGCATGTGGGTCCCGGGGCTGAGATCTCCAAGCCTGCTCGGATAGGGGCTGAGCATCCTCCACCCAGATCCTCCATCTTCCAGCAGGCAGGGGTCACATCCACCAACTGCCTCCCCACCCCCCTGGGAGCCAAGTAATCCCATCAACAGCCAAGCCCCAGAGACTATAAGACCCAGCTCCCAGAAGTGACATCTTATTATCTCATTCTTACTTTGGACAACCTGGCAGGCTACCAAATGTAACCTGCCCACACGGCAGAGTCTGGCAAACTCTCCATGGCGTAACCAATATGCCAACTACCAGTAACAATGATGGGTCTCATTCTTTTAATCCTGAAAGAGCCTTAAATATGACACTTTTTAAAATCCCAGGGCTAGGACGGAGGAAACGTTACTGGTGCCTGCTGGAGGCAATTGACAAACAACAGGATGATTGTGATCATGATCTGAGGTACTGGACCTGAGTTTGATTCCTCTGCCCCTCTCGGAGACCCTGGCAAGCTACCTGTGATGTATTCAATATGCCAAACACAGTAACAAGTCTCACACCGGAGATGTTACTGGGCCCGCTCCAGCTAATCGATGAACAACGGGAGGACAGTGCAGTGCAGTGCAGATACGGGATATATAATTCAATAGGCTGGACTCCTGGCACTGCATGGTACCATGAGCACTGCTAAGAGCAACTCTCCCAACCCCAGCAACTGAGCAGAGTAGACCCTGAGTACTTTGGCAGTGTACAATGCTCAAACAAACAAAAAAAGAGGGTTTTTCCCCCATCCTAAACAAATGAAGTAAGCAAAAATTTTTCACACTTCTGTTATTATAAAAAGGAAAATCCATCTTTTCTTTGGGTCAAACAAAAGTGTGTTTCTGAATCACCCAGATAAATAAAATGAATGAATATTTAGCTAATTAATTTTGAAGAAAATGTGTCCTTTATATTTATTTTCAACTTTACCAAAAGTTTATATAAATATATATAACAAAGTTCAGACACTGTTCCTTCTTAATTGAGAATAATTGGTGATTGACTTTCTCATAGAAGTCAATGTGAACTTCACAAATTTTGAAGCTGTTCTAAATACTATGAAATGATTCTTTGAGCCATTTCAGACTCATAGCATGAGTCCACAGCCAAGTCATGAAGGTACTTTACCTCTTTTACCTCTCTGAAAACATTAGCACATTAACAATCCACTAGCAACTAGGTTTGGTTTTGGTTTTGTTTTTTTTCCACTGGGAAGACTTTTCACAAGACAGTGCCACTTACCCCTCCTGCCTTCAGCAACTTTCTTCTAAAGTCCTCTGTGGGGTTGTTGAAAGTTAGCTTTTCACAACGGAGGTGATTCACTGGTGGATGGCCTTCAAGATGCAAGAATAAGTCATAATCAAAGCGAACTTTCTTCGGTTCTTCCTAGAGTTTAAAAGATTGAAAAAGGAAAGACAGATGCATAAATAGAAATTTAGTGAGCAAAGGTCCATTCCTACAAAGAAACAGAAATGCAATGTCCAGAATGTCAATGAAAAACTGTCATGAAATTATTGGCAAAATAGAAACAACTTATTAGTTTCTGTCCTAGAGGAAATGAAAAGAATAAATGCATTAAATTCCCTGCATTCTCTAAAGTAGTATGACTTTATATCCACCCAACTGGAATTCCAAGATATCCATTTTCTCACCTACATATTTCTTGAACAAGTCCTCTAACCTTTAATGCCTTACTTGCTGAACAAGCCAGTTTAAATTTCCTTCTCTAGTAGGTCTTCCTACTTTAGAACAGTTTATCTGCACTTTCTCCTTCATTGACACCTCGGATTATCTATATATGAGACAAAAAAACTAACTCATTAGTAAATTCAAGCATTTGATATAATTTCATCAGCTTCCAAATGTCATTAGGATGAAAGATTTGAATGCCACATAAGGCTGTTGGCTCCATATCCCACCCTTACCCTTTTAGCATATCTGACAGTCTAGCAACACATTGCTATTCACTACTCTTAGCAATAACCACATTCTGGGTTAAATCTGGGTTTCACCCTTGCCTTACCCTCATTGTCTATTCTCAGTTTCATGTACATAATTTCTACTCATCCTTTCTATTCAATATTCCCTTCGGGAGAACATTCCTTAAATATGACTCCCCAACCCCCACGTCCTCTTCTCTGGGCTCTGTTGCACCTCTTTGCCACTTTTAGAAGAGCTGCCTTCTTAAAGCCCTTTGTCCTGCTTTGTCACAGATTCCTGAAAATGGATAAAATGGTTGAATCATCATTATACCTTCAACAATGAGTTCATTCCTCGTACACTGCAGAAATGTAATGAATACCTATTTGTAAAGTATAGTATTTTCTTGAATGAGGACAAAATAGTATATGCAACAGAAGTTTTACTCTCAAGCCATTACTGTAATTAACGAAACATTTCAATTTTTCTACAGTCCTATTATTTTATATATAATATATACATATATTATAGTTTAGGTAGTGTTAGGTCATGCTAGTGTTCAAGTTTCTGGTACCTATGAACAAAGCTATTGCTTATCCTGGTCATCAAAGTGCCTGTGACCCTCACTTCCTTCCCTATGTTACCTCCAGTTCAATGTTCCTTTCCCCTAGCCATCACTTTGTTTGTTGATTATTAGAGGTTTTACACACTGATTCTTTTCTGTGGGGTGGGGGGTGTACACCCAGCTGTGCTCAGGGCTCACTCCTGGATATGCACTCAGGATCACTCCTGATGATGCCTGGGGAACCATCCGAGGTGCCAAGGATTGAACATGGGTCAGCTGTGTGCAGGGCAGGCACCTTACTTGCTGTCCTAGTCTCTGGCCTCTACACTCTGATTTTTAAACAACCAAAGTGAAGTGAGGACTGAAAATAATAATGAGCAACATGTACTTTAAAATCCATTGCACTTAATTGTCACCATTCTTCTTTGAGTTAGGAAATTAAGGAACTTAAAATGTTATGCTACTAATATGTAAAATTTTCTTTTTGAATATGAGCCATCATTGTGATATTACTTTTTTCCATTGGTCATTAGCATTTCTATTTTGCATTTTTTGTTAAAAACTGTTTATGTTTTTTAAATAGCTTTAGTGGGAAATAATTCCCAGTAAACCAGAAAATTCAAAACCCTTTTCAAGTATACAATTTAGTGGTTTTTAGTATAGTCACAGAGTTGAAAAATCATCATTACCATCTAATTTCAGAACATTTTCATCATTACAGAAAGAAAACTCAAACTCATTATTAGTCAATTTCCCATTCCTCTAGACACTACATCCCGTGGTATCACTAATCTATTTCTGTTTCTATGGAGTTTTAGACATTTCATATAAATACATGAACATAATGAAATATAAACATAATAGGTGATGTTCGTGACTGACTTCACTTACTCAGTATGTATTTCCAGATTAATCATACTCTGCATGGTCAGTATTTTATTTATCCTAATATCTGGATTTTATGAATCTATCTGATTTTGTTTGTTCATTTTCAATTGTTAAATGTCTTAGTTGATTTTACATTATGGCTGTTCTGAATTGTGCTGCTATGAATATTCATGGACAATTGTTTTCCATGGACATTCATTTTCAGTTCCTTGGGTTCATGCCTCTGAGCAGAATTTGCAGATCATATGGTCACTTTAGGAGCTCCTTTACTGTTTTCAAAAATGGCTGTACCATTTTAAAATCTTACCAAGCAAACTATGAGGTGCTCATGGTATTTTTTATTTCAATACATATGTTTAAAAATTTTCTAAATACTCAAATAAAGCTCTAAAATGTTTTTCTTTTGAAAACAATAATTAGGAGCCAGAGAGATAATACAGGACACGAGGTGCTTTTCTCTCATGAGGCCATAGTGGGTATGGTCCTGGTTTGATTCCTGGCAACTTTCCAAAAGGTGACTGGCCATATCACTCACATACAATGACTCAAAATGATTTGGTCCCAATTCTTTTGACTCAAAAATCTTAATACCTAAAACTGTCAAAATAGGGTGGAGATGTAACTTGGTGGTAAAGTATATGACTTGTATGCATGAGGCCTAGGTTTAACCCCTGGCATTACAAAAACAAACAAAAATTTTAGAATGAAGGTATTACCTACCACAAAGTCATGACTTCGGCCTCCTTACACTTTCCCGAACCACAGTCCCTACTCAGTTGCTAACTACCTATTTATGCCTACAAATTAGACATAAACTCTTTGGCTTCTTTCCTCCTAGATCAAAGTGCAATTCTCTCCTGGATTTCCTTATACTGAAATGCTTTCTCTTAAGTTCGATTCAACCTTAATTAAAAAAACAGAAGAGCAACTTTCTGCCCTGTTTGGATAGTGTAATATTGAAGCCCTTTGGAAACCATTTTTGGCAATATCTCAATGCATATGACGCTTCCTCCAGTAATTCTACTCTTCTGAGACCAGTATGACAATAATATCTGGGAATGATCACGCTGGACTGGACAAGATCTGAGTGTTAAAAGTAGGTAAAGGGATATCTTGATGACCGTTCAGTATCAATATTGCAAACCACAATTCCCAAAAGGAGAAAGAGAGGGAAAGAGACAGACAGACACACAGACAGACAGACAGACAGACAGAGACAGAGAAGAAAAGCCCCTACCATAGAGGCAGGCTGTGGGGTGGGGGGCTGGAGGGGTATTGGATGGGAACCTGGAGACACTGGTGCTAGGAAACGTACACTGGCGGGCGGAGGGATGGGTGTTGGAATATTGTATACCTGAAATCTAATCATTAACAGCTTTGTAAGGGTCTACTTCACAATAATTCAATTAAAAATATTTTTTAAAAAAAAGAAAAAACTCTTTGGAGAAATTCTTCAGTATGTATGCAAAGATATGTTAGAAAAATATCCATAGAACATTATCTGCATTAGCAGAAAAATGAGAATGATCTTCGTCTAAATATATTATTACTTAAAATATCTATTGATATTTAAAATTACGGATGGGTGTCAGTAACATAGTAGTTTCTTTGTTACCATGTCAAGTTAAGGCTGCATACTTTCTTGTATGCAGCTGTCCCCAGTTCAATCCTTAGCACTGCATGGTCCTCTGAGTGGCTCTAGGAACAACCCCAGAGTACATTGTCAGAAGCAGCCCCCTGTGCTGCATCACCAGGTGTAGCCCAAACCTCCCCCTCACCTGTCAAAAAAAAAAAAAAAGCTAATGTCAAAAGGGAGATTGTTAAGTAAATTAAAATCAACTGTATCACTGTCATCCTATTATTCATCGATTTCCTTGAGCAGGCACCGGTAACATCTCCTCCGTCCTAGCCCTGAGATTTTAGAAAGTGCCACATTCGATCTTTCAGGGTCAGGAGAATGAGACCCATCACTGTTACCAGTTTTGGCATATTGAATACGCCATGGGGAGTTTGGCAGACTCTGCCGAAATTAAAATCAAGTCACAGAAAAATACTGAAATATGATGTAAATTTCATACTTCTCCTTATGAGAGAAATCTAAACTAAGGGATTATGAAGGAAGTATTATGAGGGGCATCTAAAACAAGGGATAAATCAAATAATGAGTAAATGCAGTCAAGAAAATAAACCTCAACTTTTATTCCAGAAAAAAATTACTATAAGTATACTTATGTATATTGACTTAAAGAGAAAATAAACATGAATAATATAATTGCATCAGATCAAAATATGAGGTTATAAAAGCATCATTTTGTAGTCCATAAGTTTAAAAGAAAATACAAATTTAAAAAAAGCTAATGCCGAAAGGTAGATTCTTAAGTAAATTAAAATCAACTGTGTATCACTGTATCACTGTCATCCTGTTGTTCATCAATTTCCTCAAGCAGGCACCAATAACGTCTCCTTTGTCCTAGCCCTGAGATTTTAGAAAGTGCCACATTCAAGGCTCTTTTTACTAAAACTAAAGCTAAGAACCACAGAAGTTATCATCTCAACATGAATACTGAATGCAATTTTCCTTTAAAGATATTTTTTGAATCAGGAAAACATGCCTTTAAAAAACTCATATTTTAGCAAAATGACTATTATTGATTGTACAGGGAAGGCTTTCTTAGGTTTTATTCTTAGAGGGCAGACATCAATATTATGTCAACCTATGCTCTCCAAGAAAGATTTCTCTGAAAGTTCAAACAAGAAAGCACACATTTGGTATATAAAGCTAATACTTTTCCTAGAAGTAGAATTCTGGTTTTGCTAACATCAAATTACCTCTACCATTCTACTTTAGTACTTGACATTTGCTCATCTACTTTTTTTGAAGGCAGATTAAAAGAAAGAAGCATGAGATGCTTTCAAACCTAAAGTGTTACAGTCTTTTATGTTTTAATGTGCCTCTTCACTCACTGTTTCCGAAACACACATGATTCTCAAAGGCAGGCTTGCTTTGCTGAAC